ACGATGTAAGAATCTACATCAAAACGTCGCTCTATGCAATAAATAAGAAGTTGTCATCCATAAAGTTGTAGGTTTAATTTTTATGTAGCATAACAGTTGTGATGATTTACCAACTCAGTCACAGCCTTGGGTAACTCAATTTCAACATCAATATACTCCTTCAGCTTCATGTAAACAGAGTCTTTTCGACGTTTTGCAGCACTACAGAATGTGTTCCACGATGTTGGTGTAAATATTTCCAATTTTTCCGAATTCTGTGAATAACCATGGCATTAACATTCACTCTATTTGCCAGTACTAGCTGTAAAGGTCGTTTTATCTTAGGCTCCATTATTTAGATCTTGAACCCAACAGTCATGTAATCAAGATTCCATCCTACTTAGTTGTGCAATGTTATCTAGCAGACTTGTTAGGGGTAGGGATATTGAAATGTTAATTAGTTTCTTCAGGCTTATTGGAGCTTGATAAATCTTTTTCTGTGTGATAGTGTTTAAATGTACCAGCATCAGAATACGCATGCATCATAGTATAAAATCAAAAGTTGTCATAATATAACAAACAATGCCACTGTGAGCGTTAAAATGAGAGATAAAAAATGAACGAAGTGGGACAAAAATGTGCTAATTTATCACATGTGCACTTACAAACATTATTGTAAGTGCATAATTGTTGTTGTTAGTTATATCCTGTATAAACTAAATGATATAAAGAAAACATTTGTCATAAATTCATCAATTTTAGGCTCATTGCATATGTTGTTGATATTTGGTAATTTTACGACAACATTCAACAGTAAACACACATTTTTCAACAGAACGGACAGATTTATTTTTTGGTTAATGTTTTGAATTCATAAATTTATTGTTCAAACTTGAAGAAAACACCAAGAAACCTATGTTGGAGTAGGGGTGCAGCCAACTCTAGTTTTAAGGCCTATATGGGAAACAGCCCCAGGACTAAATGATGGTTTGTCGCATATACATCATTGGATTCCGCAAACACTTTACACACCACCATATTTCTGTTAGGTGGCATTATATCTTAGTGGAAGGTAATTGTAGCTCTGCATATATGTTATTAGTTTGAAGAATGACAAATACGGGTCCACATAATACCACAACTCCCATGTATGTTCATCACTTAAATTCAATATCCTGATCTTATATATACCTCGAACAAAAGAATGCCGGGTGTAAATATGCCATGGATATAAGAATGTCGGGTGTAACTTTTCTTTTCTATGACAGAAAACAAATGTATACAAATAGGTCGTTCATTGAAGCCACGACAGGTTGATGCAATGTCCTTAAATACGATATTTAGAATACATCCTTTCTCTGTGAACAATTTAAGCTGTAAATGGAAACATAGTCTTCAATAATTTATCAATTAATACGCGACATCTGTACATAACCTTAGAGCAGTTGATGATGGATACTAGTAGGTCTGGAAGATGACAGTGCGGCAAGTAATGGTGGTGGGGTCAAGTCTTGCATGAACGTAAATCGCTGAGTCATGATCTTGGACGGCATCTTACTATCAGCGCAAACAAGCGAATGTGTGCATGCGTTGACATTGCTATCTATAACATGCAGTAGAAAACCCAGTTACCTTACTCGTCGCCGTGGAGGTAGTACAACAAGAAGGACCTTGACTCTCAAAGAGTGAGAGCCACCTCCTGTTGAAATGCTGATGAGACGAAAAGTTGCTGTCATTACAGGTGATTGACCCGTGAAGATCCGGGTTGGAATTGATCTTCAGTAACCCATGCTTGGCGTAAGAGGCGCCTAACGGTATCGGGTGTTGCTGATGGTGTTTGTTGCGACAATGCTGTTTGTGGTGCTACTAGAGATGTTATTTGTGCTGTTTTGTTCAAATACTGATGATTGTTGAGACACTAATGTTTGTGGTCCTGCTTCTGTTGTTTACTGAGATACTGCTGTTTGTGGAAATGTTACTTATTTTGCGTGTGCACTGTCGGTGTTGTTTGATGTTTGTCTGTGGTGATGTTGATATTGTTTGATGGTCTGCTAATGAGCTGATCATGTTTGCAAGTTTCCGTCTGATGTGGTTTGTTTTGCTGTCGACATTGTTTCTGGACGAGTTTGACAATCAAATGATAAGTGTCAGTCCAAGGGCAGATAATTCAGCCCAAAGGAAACTTGGTCAGTAGGCGTATTTATCACACTTCATAAGCAAGTTTCGTTAATAATACAAACACCTATATAGATTTCTTAGCTTAGTGTCTTCAACATACTGTTCCAGCATATTATTAATAAATGACTTGTGTGATTGGTTGATTATGATGGTAAAGTAGCAGTACCCCAAGCCGACTTCGGAAAAGGGTACACTACCACAGAAAATATATGTTTTTTCATACTCTAATTCAACGATATCTTTTAAAAAATGAAGATAAACTGTTTTCAGTTTTTATAGACTTTACTAAGGCATTCAACTCAAAGTGATAAATGTCGGTGAATACTTCCGAATCGGAAACTGCAGCTTACATATATGGCAAGAGCTGTCAAGTACTGGTGTAGGGTGATACAAATAAGCCCTGAGAGACTCCCCCCACCTGTGCTACAGGATGCTCACTGCCCTTGATGATATAGGACGCACCTCTTATGCTACTGATATTAAAAATATTTTATTCCGATTTGGATTTGGATATGCATGGATTTCCCATGATGTTGGAGACAAATATATTTTCTTATCAATGTTTAAGCAGAGACTATTTGACAATCTACAGCAAACCTGGAGTGTAAATGTTTATAACCTATCAGTCTCTTATTCATATAAACAATATAAATCCCTACTGACTGTTGAATACTATCTGAACTCATCACTTCCATTTCGCTTAAAAAGGATTTTATCACGCTTCAGATGCAGTAACTTTAGAATAGCTGTCAATACTGGAAGACACCAAGCTACACCATATGAAGAAAGACTCTGTCCTCTCTGTTTACCCCCCTCAAAAGTATTTAATTGAAAATGAATATTAACCTAGCCAAAGATGCTGTGTTCAAAAAGCAAGTGAACGACTGCCATTCAACACGGCAATTTATGCCTGAATGCATGCATAATGCACGTGCATCTCGAGATCAATGTTGTGTTTGTGCGAACTCTTCCCTTTCCACAAAGAAAACCATTTCTAACCTCAATCTCAAGCAATACTTTATTGGGCAAAACAGGCTGTACGACCACGATTCAGGTTTTCCTTAAACTTGACTTTGCGGTGTATATTTTTAAAAAATAGGTTCAAATACTCCATTGATACTTAAATGTCATTTCCAATATTACAACGTTTCTTTTGCCTTTCAGTATATATTTATATCATGCATTTGTACTATGCATGCTATGGAATACATGTTATGGAATGTATGTAAATATGTATTATGCGCAGGGATATTTTTTGTAACCCTGAACTTTCTGTATTTTGGGTCGACGGCCTAATACTGAAAAAAATATGTCTGTATGTATGTCTGTCTGTCTGTCTACATGGTAAAATAGCAGTATCCCAAGCCGACTTCGGAAAAAGATTCACTACCACAGAAAATATATGTTTTTGGATGCTCTAATTCAAGATATCTTTTGAAAAAGAGAGATAAGCTGTTTTCAGTTTTTTTAGAATTTACTAAGGCCTTCAACTCAAAGGGGGGGTAGCTTAATGGTTAAAGAGTTGGCTCGTTACGCCGAAGACCCGGGTTCAAATCCCCACATGGGCACAATGTGTGAAGCCCATTTCTGCTGTCCCCCGCCGTGATGTTGCTGGAATATTGCTAAAAGCGGCGTAAAACCAAACTCAGTCAGTCCGTCAGTCAACTCAAAGGGATAAATGGCGGTGAACACTTCTGAATCGGGAAACAGTTCAAAGGGCCAAAGGACAAATGGGCCAAAACTGAAAAAGTCAAACGGGCCAAGGGAAAGTCAAAAGGGCCAAACTAAACATTCAATGACCATATTATCCATATTATCATATCATAATATATCATCATATCAAATATTGTATACTTCATTTTCAAGACCCGTGAAGGTCCAGGTTAAAATATTGATCTTCAGTAACCCCTGCTTGTCGTAAGAGGTGACTAACGGGATCGGGTGGTCAGGCCCGCTGACTTGGTTGACACATGTCATCGGTTCCCTTTTGCGCAGATCGATGTTCATGCTTTTGATCACTAGATTGTCTGGTCCAGACTCGATTATTTACAGACCGCCGCTATAAAGCTGGAATATTGCCATTTGTATATTGTAACAGCATCCAATGCTTTGTATTCGATTTGACATCTAACAAAATAATCTGTTCGCTTTGCCACCATGTATAGTGTATAAAAGTACAGTCTTTCCCCATGAACCTTTGTGACGTTAAAGAACTGGGACGCAAACGGATTTTAAATAGAATAGTTCAAGGCAAAACTGTACTTTAGTACACTATAAATGGGCGTAGAGCAAACTGTTTTTCTTCACTAAGTGACTCACTAACTGCCTTCCAATATCACCAGATTAACAAATAACGAATTTCCTCTAATAAGGGCCCGGGCGCTTATTTTTGTCAACGGACTTCCACACCGGCGCTTATTGGAGTTCCGGCGCTTATTAGAAGAAATACGATACGTCCTGCTTCGTCCGAGGGGACGTATTCACACCAAGAAGCACCGCCTGGGAATCAACATAGACAGTTAAAAAAAGGAACATGTACGGTGGGGGAGCTTAATGGTTAACGCGGTCACGGGTTCGATTCTCCACATGGGTACAATGTGTGAAGCCTGTTTTTGGTGTCCACCGCCGTGATATTGCTGTGAGCCACTTCTGCATTCCTTAATATAACTTTCTCTGGGTTTCAATTAATTTGATGTCTGTCCTAGCGGTGGCGGTGGGGTAGCCTAGTGGTTAAAACGTTCGCTCGTCACGCCGAAGGCCCGGGTTCGATTTCCCATATGGGTGCAATGTGTGAAGCCCATTTCTGGTGTCCCCTGTCGTGATACTGCTGGAATATTGCTAAATGCGGCGTAAAATCCAACTCACTCACTCACTCACTCTGTCCTAGCAAAATTGACATGTAAATGTCTATGCTGAAATTGGCACTCGATCGATAACACACCTACAATGAGCATCGGATGAAGAGCAGCAGAGGCGGCAAACCTGTTTATACAGTCTTCTGTCAGGGAGGGTCTTGTGTCTTCTGTCAGGGAGGGTCTTGTGTCTTCTGTCAGGGAGGGTCTTGTGTTTTCTGTCAGGGAGGGTCTTGTTTTTATTTAACCTTTATCTGTATGAACTTGAGGTTGAATATAATTCTCGGTGTAGATATTAGCATAGTCATCGTTATGTGACACATTGTTTAGTGATAAACATATGCAATAACTGGAACGTTTGAAAATAGCACACTCAGAGAAAAATACTTGCAAAGTCATTGTGTTCAGGTACAGTATTGATCCTAGTCTCCACATTCACAGCAGGTGATATACAGCGGCTAGTCGGATCATGTCCATCTGTGTTTACATTAGGTAAGGACATGATGCCCTTTTTAAAATCCCCCTAGCACACGACCAGCCACCCCCTTTACATTTCATTTACTGATACACTATTATATATACCTGCAACAGATACCAGAAACTAGTAGACATCCTATCAATATGTACACTCTAAAACGCTATATTGCTTACCGGTTAAAGCTCCTCTCCATGCCCTCTTCACGCTACCCATCTAACTTACAAAATGTTATGTAATCTAGATTTAAACGCAAGCGCCGAGCTTAATAGGTTTAATTGGGCTTCACGTGTAAAACCAGTTCTATTTAGATTTGGACTAGGCTATGCGTGGATATGGCAGGAAGTTGGAAATGAAAATCATTTCTTAAATTTACTTGTAAGAGGCAAAGATTGCTTTATACAGGAGTGGCATGCAAAACTCCAAAATAGTCCCTGTACGTTTACCTATTCCCTGTTTTAAGAAAATTTCATTTGCGAACCATGTGTATGTTATATCAATATTAAGAAAGTAAGAATAGCCTTATCACAGTTTTGTTCCGTTTGTTATTATTTAAGTTTATTTCATAAGAAATCTACTGTGTGCAAATACTGTAAATTGAATGTCCTGGAAGATGAATACAATGTTCTGCTATTTTGTGATTATTATAGAAACATTAGAAGCAAATATATACCCATTTATTTTACGAAACAACCGTCAAAACATATATTTATCCAACTATTGTCAACTCCTAACTGCATATTTATTGAAACTATTGCTTTGTATATCTATCATGCTATTTTGAAGAGAAAGCCACTCAGCTGTTGAACTTTGTATATACTAGTACCTGTACTATGGGCCTGTGGCCTTCAGTTTTGAATAAAGATTGATTGATATATACCTGGGAAAAGGTTAAGCACCCCTCCATATGCTTACCGCTGACAGAACTATGTTAAATTTCAGTTTGTGTATGATGAGTGAGTGAGATCATATGGTCATTTAAGACATAGTTGCAAGTGTACGTGATGGAAACCCGTGAAGGTCCGGGTTAGAATTGATCTTCAGTAGCTCATGCTTGTCGTAAGAGGCGACTAACGGGATCGGGTGGTCAGGCTCGCTGACTGGGCTGACATATGTCATAGTATACCAATTGCGTAGATCGATGTTCATGCTGTTGATCCCTGGATTGTCTGGTCCAGACTCGATTCTTTACAGACCGCCGCCATGAAGCTGGAATATTGGTGAGTGTGGCGTAAAACTAAACTCACTCACTCACGTGGTGGAAGCTTTGCACCATGAATGGCGACGGTTTCTTCTGCAACGGATTACGACGTGATCAGACTCGGTGACTTGGCTGATTACTCTAAAGGAGGAATCCGTGAAGATCCACGTTAGAATTGGTCTTCAGAAAGCCATGTTTGTCGCAAAAGGTGATTGACGGGATCGGGTGGTCAGACTCGCTGACTTGGTTCAGGGTATGCAGTCGTACCCCGACGGTGCTCATGGTATCAATCACTAGGATGTGTCTTATCGACAGAACGCCGTCACTTATCCCGACGTTAAATGTGAAGAAACGGATGGTTGAGGACAGACGTCGAGCAACAGGGAAAACACGTCCGTAAATTACGTATGTACAGAGCTAGGAGAGGTGGACTCCATGTCGTAACCCGGCGGTGATCACAACAGAACTATGTTACGGCGACTGACGGTACGTATGCGACATAGGGCAGTTACAGGCAGTTATCCAAGCACGTGGAGTGTGCACTAAATATTGATCCTACAACGATCCGAGGTTACAGCTCCGTTTTTTTGTCTCATCACATCCTTCTCTCTCTAGCTCCATACTTGTGACAGGTATATGTTTGAGCCAAAACAGATGTTTTGTGTATTGTGTCGTATCTAGTATCAAAACGTTGACGGAAACTGTCCTTTGCGATTTTCTTGTAGTAAAGACATAATCTTACTGAAAAACAGGCAGCTTTACCAACGTTCTGGGCCTGCACACCACTGATCGATGATAGTCGAAAGATGCAACTTTGTCAAAATTACCGAGGACAGGCCACATATTACCAATAGCACAGACTGCCTGTATTGACCTTTGCCGAAGTTTGCAACTCATTTAGCGGATATATCGAGTGTTGTGAATTTTTTCACGGGCCATCTTTCAGACTGCTCACATGTGGTGATTGTTTATTGGAAGCCAGACCACTGATGTATTTGGTTGGTACATTTTCGTCGATAGGCTAGTTAGTTACGGCGTACATGCTTTCAATGAGTGATCAGTCCCATGACTGGGAATATTCTCCACGTTTCGTTTCCCCGATTGGAGATTATCATGTCAACTGCCCTTGTACAGCCACAACAATCGTTATACAGCTGGCCTACTTATCTGAAAGAGAACAGCGCGCTCACATACTTGTGTTGTAATGCACTAACACGCCGGCAATGTTCACGCTATAGTAGAGATATCGTGGCAGCTTCGGTGAAAAAAAATACTCTGTCGATTTTACCTCTATGGTGCAGAAAATGCTTATATTTTAAAGAACATAGTCAAACCGTATGTATCTAAATCTAAAATAATAAGTACATGTATGTTAAAATCGAGAAGTGTATTTACCGACTGTGTTTATCCCAAAGAAAAGAAAATGGTGTGATTTCGATTCCCGGATGTGACTCAGCCCAACAAAAGTAGTAGAATCTGTACTTACTGAGAAAGTGTAATCCCAAATATAACGTACATTACATTTGACCACATTCTAAATGGCATTGTGTATTCAGAACCTCAGGTGTAGATATTACCTGGATTCCATTATCCACAGGCCGTCGTGATTAAGATGAATTAATGCCATGTGCGGCGTTGAACAAAAATTCAACAAATAAAGCTTTCCTTCAACAAAAGGGCGCTCTGGAGGATACCAGGTATAAAAGAGGTCCATGCTTTACGTAGAGTCTGAGGATGACTACAAGAAACGGGTGGTCAGACTTTGTTACCTGGTTCATGCACTTTATTCGTGCTCATAATATCAATCATGAGGTTGTGTGGTCCAGACATCGACAGAACGCAGTCACTTATACCAACTAAATAAGTGATGCTGTAAGTACAGGTGAAGAAACGTGGTCCAGGGCCGACATCGAGCAACAGTGAGAACGTCCGTACTTACAGGTATGTATGGAGCCAGGACAAGTTCACTCAGTGTCCTTAAATTTAATATTCTGGGTGTATAGTAGATATACCACAGATAAAAGAGGGTCGGGTGTGGATATACCACGTGTAACAAAAAACAATATGTAAACAAACAGGTCGGTCATTGTTAATGAATATACAATGCCACAACTGGTTGATGCAATGTCCTAAAATGAACAACAGAAAGTCGGGTGTAGATAAACCATGGGTAACAGAAAGGTTGGAGTAGATATACCATGGGTAACAGAAAGGCGGGCGTAGATATACCATGGGTAACAGAAAGGCGGGCGTAGATATACCATGGGTAACAGAAAGTCGGGCATAGATACACCATGGGTAACAGAAAGTCGGGCGGAGATATACCATGGGTAACGGAAAGGCGGGCGTAGATCTACCATGGGTAACAGAAAGTCGGGTGTAGATATACCATGGGTAACGGAAAGGCGGGTGTAGATATACCATGGGTAACAGAAATGCGGGCGTAGATATACCATGGGTAACAGAAAGTCGGTTGTAGATATACCATGGGTAACAGAAAGTCGGGTGTAGATATACCATGACGGGAATCAAAATGTAGACACACAGGTGGTTCATTGTTGTCGAATGTACATAGCCACGATAGGCTGATGCAATGTTCTTAAATACAAGTTTAGAATACATTCTCTGTGAACAATTTAAGGTGTTAGTGGAAAGCCAGTCTTCAATAATTAATGCTTAAATACACCAAATCTGTACATAATCTTAGAGAAGTTGAGAGATGGATAGTTCTGGAAGATAACAGTCAAGCAAGTCATGGCGATACTTGCCGAAACACATTGACATTTATCGCTGAGTCATGATCTGGGGCAGCATCTTAACACCGAGTGCACCCGCGCAAGCAAGAGTGCGCATGCGTTGACATTGCAATATATAACATGCAGTAGATAACACAGTTAAATCAAAACACAAACAAGACCTCGACTCTCAAACAGACTTGCTGAACCAGTCACCTCCTGTTGAAATGGCGCTGAGAGGAAAAGTTGCTATCATTACAGGTGAGATTTTGTCGAAAATGTATAAAGTATATGCTTTTCATGGGTTTGAATCCTCGACCACTGGTATGTCAGCAAAAAAAAAAGCATGTCGTAAGGATCGATAAAAGAAATCGGGTGGCGAAGCTCCGTCAACCCAGATGACAGTGGCTCGTACATTACAGACATCAGACCAGAATGTACACTGGTTGACATTGTTCACAGACCTGGGTCTAGATTTTCTCTCTTAGCGCTAAGATAGTCGTAAGTTAATGTTAATGGATGGTACTTACGACTATCTTAACACTATTAGAGCCTCGAAAATCTAGGTCCTGGGCTGTAGATGCGAGAGGATACTGCAACCCCCAGAGTCTGCCTGGTGTTGCTGGAATTCTTGCGCTACTAATGAGTTGATGACGTTTGTGAGTTTCTTTCTTATATTTTCTGTGCCGCTGAAATTGTGTGTTGGGCTGCTGATGAGCTGATCATGATTGTAAAATTCCTGTTTCATATTCAATCCAATTATGAATAATGAAGAAAAAGGTTTAGAAGCCTGAAGAAAACGAATTTTCATAAAACTGCCAATTACTGTTATTTACTTACCTTTAGTGATTAAAGGCCAGTCCCTCGTAGAAATGTCTCGATTTCAAGCGTAAATGTGGTAGCAGACGATGTTTACCTTCGATACGGAAGTACGCTTTTGCAGCTGCGCAGTATTACCGGACGCGCGTCATTACCGGACTCGCTTGTACACAAAACGTACATACTAATTTAGAGGCACACACACACACAAACACATACACACACATGCGCTTTGTAAAACAAGATATTTTCTCGTGTTGTTATAATGTCTGACGTTAGTAACAAATAGAATAATTTCAATGTTTCAATAGTGAATATTGTTACTATAGCCATTCGTGTTTAGTTATTCATGTTTAGATTAGTTATCAGATTTCACTAGGACACTGAAGGATGTCATAACATACGTTGAAAGGAGCACGTTTCATCACATAAATGTACATATAAATTCATAGATCTACTGATAGCCGATGCACATAAGGATGAAAAAGAGGTACACACGCATACTCACACACACAACACGATGAATACACGAGGCATTCGTTGTGTGTTTGATTTGAGTCAACACAATCTCCTCTTTCAGGTTCCAGTTCAGGAATTGGGGCAGGGATTGCAGTAGCGTTTGCCAAAGAAGGAGCCAAACTGTCATTGACTGGTAGGAACCAGAAGAATTTGGAGGACGTGGTCAAGAACTGCAAGAAGGCAGGGTGTCAGGTGAGCAGAAAGCGATAGAGGAAGTCATCATTTAGTACAGCCCCAATAGTCCAAGGCGCTACAATTAAGCTTTTAAAATCGTGTCCATTAAGCGATACAGATCCTCAAATCAATATTGGTACAGTTTCCAATCATGCCACAAAATAAGTGCCTAAAGCAATCGAAATCTGTAAACACTGCAAAATCGACGATGTTTATACAGAATTGAAGTTATAATTTATCAAGGTGATCAGCTTTCTGTTTCAGGACGTTCTCATAAACGTGGGAGACGTCACAAAGGATGCTTTCAGAAAGACTCTCGTGGAGGCAACCAAGAAGAAGTTCGGGAAAATAGACATACTGGTGAGTATACTTTACATACTGCAGACGGGATGGAAGGACATATGCATGCATATATTCTGTACCACCACGACAAATTGGGAAAAAAATAATTAATAATAGTTCAGCTAAACGTTTTGTTTAAATTTTGATGTTATTTGTTTCTTCTTTATAGACGCAAACAGTAAGCTAATCCACATGACATATGCACAACCAGAACATCCTGTGATTGATAGCTTAGGCAAAGATGAAAGTCGTAGGGATAATGTTAAACGCAAAGTCATTGAGCTTCACCCGATCCATTAAATCGCTGCTTTGCACAAACACGTGTTTCTGGCCATAACTTTGAATATCCATCTCTGTCATCGTCTCGCAAGGTGACAGTCACTGGACTGGACTGTCTGGTCCAGACTCGACTGTTTACAAACAACATCGTACAACTGTAATACTGTTGAAACAAATACTACCCGTGAAGATCCGGGTTAGAATATTGGCCCTCAGTAGCCCATGCTTGTCGTAAGAGGCGACTAACGGGTTCGGGTGGTCAGGCTCGCTGACTTGGTTGACACATGTCATCAGTTCTCAATTGCGCAGATCGATGTTCATGCTGTTGATTACTGGATTGTCTGGTCCAGACTCGATTATTTACAGACCGCCGCCATATAGGTGGAATATTGCTGAGTGCGGCCTACAACTCAGGTCACTCACTGAAACAAATACATGTTCATGATATTGTTCACAATTATACAATCAAATCTGCGTTTAGCAGAGATTTCTTATGCATGTGGAAAGGGCTTTATCGCTTCTGTTCTGTTGATCTGATTTCAAGGATGCCAATGTGTCACCTGCGTAACGAATTTCTCAGTGCAAAAGGAAAAAGGAACTATTTGAAAAATCGCAACAGTCTGTTTATAAGACTGACTGACTGACTGAGTTTAGTTTTACGCCGCTTTTAGCAATATTCCAGCAATATCACGGCGGGGGACACCAGAAATGGGCTTTCTGTTTATAAGAATGCACAGGACCATCAAATGAAAATGATTTGTAAGGATAAAAGAGGTCCCTTTAACATATGCGTGTTTTGGAGTACTCGAGTTTTATCGATCATCCCTATTGACTGAACTGTGTGGGAATAGCGAGACTGGCTACACAAAACGGGGCTTCACAAAATGTACCGTGGGGAATCCAACCAGTCATCGATGTAACGAGCAAACCCTTTAAGCACTAGATTAAATCATTAGATGGGTTTTAAGAGATTTGATAGTCAGTGGTTAATTGGTGTATAAAGAGTCATAATACCTTGGTGGCGTGGACCGTTGCTCATATTATCAATCACTGGGTTTGCATACACTTTATATTACCCGACTATGTGCGACACAGACGCTACAGATGGTGGCGTTAACCCGTAACACAAACAAGCTAGGTATATCATATGTCTGTGTTTAGGTGAACAACGCTGGGATCTCAGGCATAAGTCCGCTGACATCAACGACCAAAGAGCAGTACGACAGAATGATGGCTGTCAACGTTGAGGCACCTTTGTTCTTGACACAGTTAGTTGCACCGCTTTTGATTGAAACTAAAGGTACTTTCTAAATGGCTGCGATTTCATGTGTGGTTTTATGTCTGGATTTCATTTTTGAAAACAATTCATTCTGGAAAACAAGACACTAACGACAGTACTGAACTCACCGTACAATTTGCTGTATGTCCTGGAAACAGGTGTTGTCACCACAACTTGTTCAGCTTCACGTTTCAGAGAAACAACTGTACGTCGTGAGACAGTGAATAAAATATATTCAGTCCTTTACAAACGCCATATAGAACTAATTATAATAACTGTATGTCTTTTCATAAGATAAGATGTTAAAATGAACACACGATATTTCCAGCTTTCTTCCTGAAGTCACTAGTCTTTTGTTAATCAAATAATTTTGTTTCAGGAAACGTGGTCAATACGTCGTCTTGCGGAACGTCCATGATCGTGAGTGTGATGGTTATAAGAATAATTCACAACCTGTAAAACAGAGGAACTTTACACATCCCGTAGCCGTTTGAGTGTAGAATAGGCCACGCGCATAACACAGGAAGCCGAGTGGATGCTGTATGACCAAAATGAGTGTTGTGTGAGTAAAGAAAGAGTTAATGGTCACAATGTGAGTTCCTTTCCTTTCCAAGTTCAGAGACCCTGAATATACATCATCCCTTTTGCACATCTATATAGAATGAAATGAACAGACTGCTCCTGCTATTTTCGTATGTCATACAAAGGCCTTTGACCAAATTTTTCACTCTTTTTCCCGTTCAGCTTCCGAATGCAGGTGTCAATGTCATGTCGAAGGCGGCCATAGATACATTCACAAGATACCTTGCTCAAGGTAAGTATATATGAGAGTATCAGCGAACCGACTTACTCACTCAAAGCATATAAATCTAATGGAAGTCCTTCATGTCTTGAACACTTGAGGATGTAAGAATCTTAGATTTAAAAGCGTTGCTATACATGGTAATTTAATCCGTAAATAATGATTGTGTCCTAAACTATGCTTACCTGTCACTGAAGGCAATCTTACTGTCCAAGCATCGGTAAGGAACAAATAAACAACACAATAATTTCTTTCCACAGAACTGTCATCACATGGTGTACGTGTCAATTCAATCAAGTAAGTACAACCAGAAAAAAACAATAATTGTTGTCGAGGAGATGCCTATGGCTATGAGGAGATGAGGAATAGTGTCACTTAGATTCATTTGAGTTCAGTTTAAAATGAGATTCAATAAACTGAACAATATACATCATATGTTTTCATTTGTCGTAATTCCTTCTGGAGGGACAGTTAGTGGAGGCGTCTTACTCAACTCAGGTCAAAATGTCCAATATTCAAAAGATGTTCATCAATGTTTGAGAGACGTCAGAGGCAGACTGGCCCTTTCGGGAATCACTCACAGATCAATATTATGTACTGCATGGGCTGGTATTTCACAATTCGTACTACTGTACAATATCACCACAATCACGTCATAAATATACATGGTATAGGCCATGAAGTAGGAAGTTGAAACTGGCATAAACGAATAACTTTTATTACACATGAGCAAATCAGCTCAGCACGTGTCTTTTTGTAAGTCTCTTATACCAAGTTAATCTTTATTCATAATAAAACAAGGCACAGACAGATGTATCAGACATTGCGAAAAGAAGAGTGGAACCAGATATTGCAAGTGAATATCACATCCATAAAATTGGATTGAAAGTTGGGTTTTTCATTGTGGTTGTTATAGATTATGTTATACTTGGTTTGGTGCTGTTATTCCATATACGGTCACATGTGCTATTGGATTATTGATATCGTGAGTGTTGTATACAGTTTAAGTGTTATATTCACTTTGTTCTTTATTAAACAAAACACTGACTGATGTTTTTGTCATTGTGAAAGGAAACGTTGTAGAATATATTGCAAATGAATATCACATACATACTATTGCATCACATTGCTCAAAAACATGTTTTCAAAGCTGTCAACTTACTTTGCAGACTCAGTTGTCAAGGATGCACATGACGTGAACTGAATTGTGTGAATGTTTTATGTAAATTGTCTTTTACGTTTTTGGTTGTTAGTGAGTTATTCCATATACTTTCACCTGTTCTGTTGGTTTATTCTGATACACCGTCACTGTGTTGACTTAAAGTGTTACAGTCACTGCTAGTGATGCATTCGTGTTGATAGATGTTTTTACTGTGTTGTTTCAGTCCAGGCTATGTACCCAGCAACATGATGTCAAAGGTGTTGACTAAAGAAGTAGCCAACCAGGTACGTTTAACCCACCACACCCTGTGTGGAAACCTGTGATTATAGCATGGGAACCTTTCACGTTGTTTTGATATCACAACACTCAGTGGTAACGAACATGATCATGCAACAAACAGATCCTACCGTATTGTAAATCGCAGACTTCCCAAGTGGGGCGGGGAAGAGCTTATAAGCGTATAGAACTAGCGCCTAAAGTACTCATTGATTACGATACATATACTACAATCCTTTCACTAATTCATTCACTCTCTTTCTTTCAGATGGATAAAGCTATGAAACAGGCGACACCAATTGGTCGAGCTGCTACCCCAGAAGAAATGGGTCACATTGTGGCCTTCCTAGCCTCGGATAAAGCAGCCTTTGTAACTGGAGAGAGTTTCAGGGCCGATGGTGGGCTCTCAATGACCACACCAGCCCTTGGATAGAAAATGTTGAGGGAAGCTTGAGGTCTACTTGGATGCTCCATTAGCAGATTGTGGGAGGAATATTCGCATTTGTACCAAACCTTTTTCGCCTAACAGACAAATACCAGTGAAATGTGACAGTTGACTTTATTCATAGATGATATAATGCATGGGAAAAGAAATATATTTTGTATTTACTGGAAAATTCTGAAATTGTTCTGAAACATTATAATTACTAATATGAATACAATGTCATTTATCTAATTCTGTAAGATATTGTCCCACTTGTGTTAAACAAATAAATATGTATTCTCAAAACTTTCTGAAAGTTTGTTTTTCTGGTTAAGCAGTGGAGCAGATGTTGGTGATGGGGAACTTCAGTTGCCGTATCCCCCATCTGGCCATCCTTGTTGTTGTGAGCATCAGTATTTAAACGTTTTAAATATATTGTCAAATATTGATTAGTTACCAACTCCATGAAGGCAGTCCGCGTTAGGCGCCGTCGGTAAGGGATGTTTATGATTCAGAACTTCCATCGATAAATCACCGTTAGACAGGAATATGTTGATAACTATGTTGGCTTGCAACACAACTGCTTGCATGGAATAAATACACGGCTGGTTTGCACAGAGCACAAATACTGGAGCGCGTGTGTTGTCTCAGTTTAACAGTCAAGTGACAAAATTAATGTCGTTTTCAACTGATAGTGACACCCCAATTTAACATGGGCAAGAGGAACCTGGATGCAGATTTATCATGAATAACATAAATTCGGGTGCAGACAATGTCCCTTCTATGATTCCATACCTGTAGGATGTTCGAGCTATGGTTCAGATACTATTACCCAAAGGCCGTTTTGAAATAGCTCAAATATTGCCAAACAAAATTCAACCATTCGAGTTTTACATCGATAAGAACAGGACAATCCGAGGGAATACTGGTTTGTCCCATACTTTCCATGAAGATGACTTTATGAAGCATGTAGTCAGTCGAGGTGACTCTGTTCTGTGTGTGCAGTAATACCCTGACGGTGCTCATAACAGCAGACACTAGTAAAACGGAATTAGATGCGGTCATTTAACCTGAGTATTTAATTGGGGCGCTGAACAATGTGTGTGGAGTGGATAGTGAGTGAGTGAGTTTAGTTTTACGCCGCACTCAGCAATATTCCACCTATATGGCGGCGGTCTGTAAATAATCGAGTCTGGATCAGACAATCCAGTGATTTATCAACAACATGGGCATGGATCTGCGCAAATGGGAACCGATGACATGAGTCAACCAAGTCAGCGAGCCTGACCTCCCGATCAACTTAGTCGCCTCTTACGACAAGCATGGGTTACTGAAGGCCAATATTCTAACCCGGACCTTCACGGGTCCTGGAGTGGATGTAGATCATATATGAATGATCTTCAGCAACCCTTGCTTGTTGAGTGTTAAAGAAATGACAAACCGGATCGGGTAGTCAGCCTCGCTAATTTAGTTGATGCATTTATCATACATCGTAAATCGCTTCAATCACTAGATTGTCTGGTCCAGACTCTATTATTACAGGCCGCCATCATATAGCTGGAATATTACTGTGTGATGCGTAAAACAACAAACAAACAAAACAACAATCATGTCTCTAGAAGTAGATAATGTGATCAGATTCAGTGACTTGGCTGATTACTGCAAATGTGGAGACCAGTGAAGATCCACGTTAGAATTGGTCTTCAGCAAGCCATGTTTGTCGCAAGAGGTGACTTAGGGGATCGGGTGGTCAGACTCGCTGACTTGGTTCAGGGTATGCAGTCGTACCCCGACGGTGCTCATGGTATCAATCACTAGGATGTGTCTTATCGACAGAACGCCGTCACTTATCCCGACGTTAAACAAAATGTGAATAAACGGGTGGTTCAGGACAGGCGTCGAGCAACAGGGAAAACACGTCCGTACATTACGCATGTACAGAGCTAGGACAGGCTGACTCCATGTGCTCAAATATAATATTCTGGGTGTAGATATACCACAGATAAGAGAAAGTCGGGTGCGGATATACCATGGGGGACAGAAATGTTAACAAACAGGTCTTTCATTGTTAATGAATGTACAAAGCCACGACAGGTTGATATAATGTCCTTAATACAATATCCTGGTCTTATATATACTGTGAGCAACAGAAAGCCGGGTGTAGATATGCCATGGATATAAGAATGTCGGGTGTAGCTTTTCTTTTCCATGAAAGAAAACAAAATGTAAACAAACAGGTCGTTCATTGAAGCCACGACAGGTTGATGCAATGTCCTTAAATACATCCTTTCTCTGTGAACAATTTAAGCTGTAAATGGAAACAAAGTCTTCAATAAGTAATCAATCATCACGTGACATCTGTACATAACCTTAGAGCAGTTGATGATGGATATTAGTCGTCCTGGAAAATCACACTGCGTCAAGAAATGGTGATAGGGTCAAGTCTTGTTGAAATGCATGGACGTAAATTGCTGAGTCATGATCCGGGACGGTATCTTACTACCAGCGTAAGCAGTTGTGCGCATGCGTTGACATTGCTATCTATAACATGCAGTAGAAAACCCAGTTACCTTACTCGTCGCCGTGAATGTAGTACAACACAAGAAGGACCTTGACTCTCAAGGAGTGAGAGCCACCTCCTGTTGAAATGGTGATGAGACGAAAAGTTACTGTCATTACAGGTGATTGACCCGTGAAGATTCGGGTTGGAATTGATCTTCAGTAACCCATGCTTGTCGTAAGAGGCGCCTAACGGTATCGGGTGTTGCTGATGGTGTTTGTTGTGACAATGCTGTTTGTGCCGGTGTTGCTGATGCTGTTAGTTGCGACAATGCTGTTTGTGGTGCTACTAGAGATGTTATTTGTGCTGTTGAATTTTGTTCAAATACTGATGATTGTTGAGACGCTAATGTTTGTGGTCCTGCTTCTGTTGTTTGCTGAGATACTGCTGTTTGTGGAAATGTTACTTATTTTGCGTGTGCACTGTCGGTGTTATGTGATGCTTGTCTGTGGTGCTGTTGATATTGTTTGTTGGGCTGCTAATGAGCTGATCATGTTTGCAAGTTTCCGTCTGATGTGGTTTGTGTTGCTGTCGACATTGTTTCTGGGTCTGCTAATGTTTTCTACGCAGATGCTGGTGTTGTTCCTGGTTGTTTTTCATGGGTGACGTTCTATATTCAGGTCATGTTCCGATTATTATATTGGGAACTCTGGTATTGTTCATGAGGCATCTGCTGAGATGACATTGTGGTTGTCTCTCTTATACCTTCAGTCGTTCCTTCATAATATCATACGTTCATTCTAAACAATTATTCATCATATATTATTGTTGCAGATATTGTGATACTGAGATGACATTGTGGTTGTCTCCCGTATTCCTTCAGCCGCTCTTTTCATAATATCATACGTTGATTCTAAACAATTATTTATCATATATTACTGTTGCAGATATTGTGATACTGAGATGACATTGCGGTTGTCTCTCGTATTCCTCCAGCCGTTCCTTTCATAATATCATACGTTCATTCTAAACAATTATTCATCATATATTACTGTTGCAGATATTGTGATACTGAGATGACATTGCGGTTGTCTCCCGTATTCCTCCAGCCGTTCCTTTCATAATATCATACGTTCATTCTAAACAATTATTCATCATATATTACTGTTGCAGATATTGTGATACTGAGATGACATTGCGGTTGTCTCTCGTATTCCTCCAGCCGTTCCTTTCATAATATCATACGTTCATTCTAAACAATTATTCATCATATATTACTGTTGCAGATATTGTGATACTGAGATGACATTGTGGCCTCCCGTATTCTTCCAGCCGTTCCTTTCATATTATCAAACACTTATCCATGATATATTACTGTTGCAGATGTTGTTTGTGATGCTGTTGCTGTGGTTGCCTGCTAATGAACCTGTTTGTGGGGTTACTGGCAATATTGTGGTGATCACTCTTGCTATTTCCTGCGTGAATATTGTTGCAATATTTCAGGAGTGAATGTTGTTATTAGGTATTCGTGTTTGGTCATTTATGTTTAGTCCAGTAATCCGATTTCATCAGGATAGTGAAGGGTGCCTGATTCGAGATGGTGAACATAATATTATAATCAGTGGTCTAATGTCAATACATATATTGAAATTTAACAAGTGTAGTTACGGAAGAATTCGGAGGCATGATATATCTAGAGACCATGTTTACGTTTAAAGATTGCAGACAGTCTAACTACCTATAGTCCGTTTGGCTCAAAATCGGACCGATGACTTGCAATCTAACTCGAAAACTAATTAACATAAAATACTCAATGAACGCTGATCATAATCAAAACATCATACCAACTCTGTGAGGTTTTTGCAGAATTTTTGTCCTAAAAATTAAAAAGTTGTTTAACAATCTATCATTAAAATATTGACACAGTTCACTATTTGTTACGAGGGAGGAGTGCAGAGAAAGGGACAGCCAGGTGTTCGAGAACGGATGGAGACGGCACAGCACAGGTTAATGAATAAATAACTTTGTCAGTGAACGTGCTTCTCGAACACCTGGCTGTGAAGAAAGACTCTGTCCTCTCTGTTTACCCCCCAAAAAGTATTTCATTGAAAATGAATATTAACCTAGCCATAGCTGAACACTTCTGAATCCGGAAACAGTTCAAAGGGCCAAAGGACAAAGGGGCCAAAACTGAAAAAGTCAAACGGGCCAAGGGAAAGTCAAGAGGGCCAAACTAAACATTCAATGACCATATTATCCATATTATCATATCATAATATATCATCATATCAAATATTGTATACTTTATTTTCAATACCCGTGAAGGTCCAGGTTAAAATATTGATCTTCAGTAACCCCTGCTTGTCGTAAGAGGCGACTAACGGGATCGGGTGATCAGGCTCGCTGACTGGGCTGACACATGTCATAGTATACCAATTGCGTAGATCGATGTTCATGCTGTTGATCCCTGGATTGTCTGGTCCAGACTCGATTATTTACAGACCGCCGCCATATAGCTTGAATATTGCCATTTGATATTGTAACAGCATCCAATGCTTTGTATTCGATTTGACATCTAACAAAATAATCTGTTCGCTTTGCCACCATGTATAGTGTATGAAAGTACAGTCTTTCCCCATGAACCTTTGTGACGTTAAAGAACTGGGACGCAAACGGATTTTAAATAGAATAGTTCAAGGCAAAACTGTACTTTAGTACACTATAAATGGGCGTAGAGCAAACTGTTTTTCTTCACTAAGTGACTCACTAACTGCCTTCCAATATCACCAGATTAACAAATAACGAATTTCCTCTAATAAGGGCCCGGGCGCTTATTTTTTTCAACGGACTTCCACACCGGCGCTTATTGGAGTTCCGGCGCTTATTAGAAGAAATACGATACGTCCTGCTTCGTCCGAGGGGACGTATTCACACCAAGAAGCACCGCCTGGGAATCAACATAGACAGTTAAAAAAAGGAACATGTACGGTGGGGGAGCCTAATGGTTAACGCGTTCGGTCGTCACGGGTTCGATTCTCCACATGGGTACAATGTGTGAAGCCTGTTTTTGGTGTCTTCCGCTGTGATATTGCTGTGAGCCACTTCTGCATTCCTTAATATAACTTTCTCTGGGTTTCAATTAATTTGATGTCTGTCCTAGCAGGGGCGGTGGGGTTGCCTAGCGGTTAAAGCGTTTGCTCGTCACGCCGAAGGCCCGGGTTCGA